CTGTATCTCTGTGTCTGTGAGATCTGTCCACAGTAAATCTCATTTTGTACACAGATATAGCAAATTTATGGATAATAATGACAAAATTCTTATCAATTCTTTGTAAAATTTTATGGTTATAACGAACTCTGATATAATAAATTTATGGACATAGTGAACTGATTTTGTGTCCAGTAGAGGTTAAAAATAACAATATTTACATCTTTTGTAATGACTTTTTTAATATGAATTTTTTTAGATATTTTCGTCTATTTTAACTTCATTCATTTTAAAAAATATTACAATACCATATGATTGCATATATATACATGACAGATCTGACAAAATGGCATAGTGTTTGTACATAATTTTTAATGATTAATATACCAGGTAATTTTTCTTTGTTTCTCACTCCAAAATATAAGTACAGTAAAGCACAATTATAGCGAACACGTTTATATCGAATTGACGCTTATAGCGAAGTCATTTTCATTCCCCATTACTTTAAAATATATTGTTAACTTATTGGAAATAACCAATTACGCATAAAACGAAGCAAAATCGCCCGTACCTGGCACTTTGTTATAAGCATGTTTTACTGTACTTATCTGACCACCACTGTATTGCATGCGACTTAATTTTGCTCTAATTACAGACATATTAAAATTTAATTTGAATAATTTGTGTAGCTAAACATGGAGTTAATGCAAAGTAATTTGATGCACAGTAAAGTCAAACTTGTACCATAGGACTGGCGGTAAATTTAGATTTTGCTTTCATGTTTCTGTGGTGTATTTGCCAGAAGAATCACAGTTTTTTTAAGTCACGCCCACCTTTTGGCATCAAGCCATACTGTGTCAAGACCTTGACTAATGAATGAATGATGTCAATTTCAAGACCAAGGCAATGGCTGATGAATGAATTAAGTCAACATTTTAAATTTCAAAAATACTAACATTATAAATATTTAGCTTGTCGGTGTCCGCTTCATAAATGGTTCTGTATGTTTTCTCCGCCTATCCTTAATCAGTAAATGATACGTCCTATCTCGAATTCTCGTCATTTTCTTTCCCGTCTCCAAATACATATAGCAATTTCACATCAGAAGTCCCCGCATTTTTTTACTTCAAATACCATTTCAAACTTTCATTAAAATGTCACAAATCATTTCATTTTTTTCTGTAGGCCGATTGCCATAAAGAAAAAGTTCAATGCCGATGTTTCCCATATCCATCCCCCCTTTTTTCAAAAAAAAAAAAAAAAAAAAAACGATCTAGAAAGATAACTTTTCTTTCAGAGTTGACGGCTTGAACATAAAAGCCTACAATCGCTACCCCTATACCTGTACCTGACAAAATTCATGTTTTCTGCGTCTTCAACATTTCAAAGGTACAATATCTTCACACGTACCAATTCCGATTTTTTTTTAATTTTTAAAACAACTTGTAGTAGCAGTGCCGCATTAAAGTATGATCCTTGCAGATGGAGACAGCTATTTATACAGACTCCGGACCGTGTCTTGACACCTCGTAGTAGGCGGTGCTATTTATCAACTCGCTTTTCTCTCATTGGTCCTCTGGTACAAGTAATTTACACAATAGATATTAATTGGTTAGCTGTAAATACACTCACAGTTTTTATTCACACGGGGCTCTGCCCCTCATGAATGAAAAACTGTGAGTGTATTTACAGCTAACCAATTAATATCTATAGTGTAACTATAACTTATTCCAATGAAATCCTGCATGAACATGGTTCAAATTTAATTCGCTGTTAACTTATGTATAATTCTTATACCTCTCTGTGTGAACGTGGCACAATATTCAATTAGATAAATTCCAAAAGAATGTTTTTCAGGAGAGATGACTGGATTATTGGCTTCTGGCTCAACAAGAAACCTTATGTTGAAAACTATCCATCACATTTTCTAAAGACCAGAGATTAAATTTAATGAAATTATCTAGGACCCAAAGCTCAGTGCAAGGCCACTCAGGGTCCAATTTTTATTACAGTCATAGCTTGAGAGACTGAGTATTTTGGCCCTCGGATATTGAAGATAGTCAATCTGAAAATGTAAATGTGACCATCACTGGATAAGTTACCCACAATCATATTGTGGATTAATGTAATCCAGAATTGATTGTGATGTCATTACTTCTCAGAAACGTTCTATGATAAAGTTTGGCCATTTGGTATTAATAAATAAGCAAGACATAATTTCTCGATCTCCAGTTATTGTTCTATATAATCTTTTGTACTACAAATATACGCAAGAATTAAGTTTTCGTGAGCAGGCAGTCTCATGTAATTACGCAAAAATAAAGTTCTCGCGAATAAACTGTGATCTACAGTATTAGTTTTGGGTCAAGGTAATCAAGATTAATTTATGTATTAACCCTGAATGGATGAAAATTAACTATTTCTTGATACAAAGTTTATTAAGTTTTTCATGGAATTTACAACTTTTAAAAGTTTTTGAAAAATATTGTCATATGGGCTCTATTAGGTCCTTTTGTGTTGCCTCCAGAGCAGAGGGACACTAAGGGATCACTGTACCCGGCATCATTCTACCTATCTGTCACACCTTATATCTTGAAAACTGTAAGGTATGGATCTGATATTTTGCACATATATTGCCTGGTGCTTAAGTTTTTGTAACATACCATTGTTACCAATCTCTTGGCCCTTGACCTTTGACCTACTTTTCAAAAAACTTCATGGAGCCAATATATTTTTGACATTTTAAAGGGTAAATCTATGCTAGCCTATTTATAGCATGTGCACTGTGTGTCATAAAATATGAAAAATACAAGCAGTCCATTCTTTGACCTTGACCTTTTACCTACTTTGCAAAAAATACTCCAGACAGTTTAATTTAATATGTTCTTTTGAATTTTGAGAGGCAGGGTTTTGATAATGTTTCTGAGCTTATGACACAGTACTTTAAAACTGTACAATACTCAGTTAATACCACATTATAAACTGATACTGTATTAAAGTACTATAAAAATACATTAGAATCCACAAATTGTATAGACTTGTGTAGACTGACAATTGCAGTAAAGATGAGACTGAAATCTCTTTTGGAATATTGTTGGAAACAAGTATTAATAAAATGATAAATAATTACCGGTAAGTCTAATAATTTAGGATTGTTGGAAATGCACATTGATAAATTGATAAATGATCATGTCTAATAGTTTCAATTCACTATTCATTTGAGGCTTGGGGAACCATATTTCTCTGTCAGGTTCTATCACTGATTCTCGGATACTACCCATGGAATTTTTTTTTTTTTCTTTTTTTGCAGGCAAATGCATGAACTATGTTTAGTAACTGACCATGCATTTTTAGATTTATTTACATCTATAAGCTACAAAAGCACTGGTGACATATATGCATTCTTTGGAACACTCTAGTTTTATGAAAGTGTTGTATGTATCACCGTGGCTTGAAAAGTATTGATCATAGACTGAGAGTGAATATTAATAACTCTTAAATTAAATTTTCACTGAAGAAATTACAAACTTTAAAAAGCCTGAGGTAGTCATTGTCCCTTGATGGAGATTGTGTCCCTTAATAATCTGACAGCAATAGCGATTGGTGTCATCTGATAATTGTGAAGCTATTGAATTCTGTTTACAGGGAGCTCCCAGGAGGGGCTATACTAAACAACAGCAGCAAAACAATATCAGATCCCTGACGGCCCCCGTGTCACTTTTTCTTTGTAATACATTAAACAGCAGGTGACAGGGTTTCCCTTTATAACATAATTTTGTTCCAAGTGTTGGATCTTAGCTGGATTTACATTTTGTGGAAATCACATTTAAAAATGTAATGTTTCCACAAGCATTCAGAGCTGAGTTTCATTGCAAGGTTTAAATCTGGGAATAAACTATAATTTATCTGATTTTTTTGTACCTTTCCTTTCCTTTTTAGATGTCAAAAAATTGATATTGTACAAATGTTATGTAGGGAATTTACAATATTAACTATATTTACATTTAATACTAAAAAAATTACCTTGCCTTTTTTGGATTATAATGCAGAAATAAGTTACTTATTCCTCAAATGTAAAATGACACAGTTATTGACATGTACATCAGTGCAAACAGCTTATAATTAAAAGGTTAGGATTTACCTCAAAAGGCAAAGCCACGTATAATTGGCTCTTCACTGTGAGTCTTGTATCACTTCATGGTCAATATTTTACTTGCCAGCTGCAGATACCTATGAATATATGGGCATTGATTACTTTTAGCGGGAGCATGTATGCGATGAGTTCCTCTGACACGGGTAGAGTGTAGATTACTTGTTATAACCATTTCGTCTGTTGTCTTCTAATAACACTCAGTGGTTGCAATTATACAGGATAAATTTTACTTATTCAGCTACTCTTGGTTTTCACAGTCATTCCTGAATCTGTCAATTAGTGCTGGGAATTCTAGTGATTTTCTGTCATGCTTTTAGAGAATGTGGAGGACTGTTTCGGAAGGTACGTGTTTAGTGTATGAATATCATCTGCCACAGCTGCTGATTTATCATTATCAGTAAGATATAGAAATAGCTACCTGATTTTTTCCAAATTAATGTTTTATTTGTTCTATTTTCCATATTATTAACTAGAATACCTTATGTAAGTTAACCTTATGTCTTCAATGAAGTTTCCCTTTTATATTAAATAATTTCTGAAATGTACATATGTATGGTGGTATCATGTAAAGAAAAATGTTAGGAGTATTGTTTAATTTATTGGTAGTAAAATATGTGTGAGTTGTTATTTTCAAGATCAGATTTAAAGCCTACTACAATGTAGTAGTTTATAAATATCTTTCTAGTTCATCATTGAAATGTCTCTCCTAGTGACAATAACAGAACATTATGCACTTACAATTGATATCCTATATTCTTTCAGGGGATGAAATAGAAATGGGACTCTAAGCAACAGTTTGGATTAGGAAGATAAAAAAAACCCCAAGAATTTAGGAGAATTTTTCTTTGAGTGAACAGCCAATGAATGCCCTATAAATGATGGTCTCAGAGTGGATTGCTAGTCTAGACAAAAGGTATGCTGATTTTTTTTTTACATCTCCTAGTCTAGATAAAAGTATGCTGAGTTTTTTATGACAACTTATCTACACAAAAGGTATGCTGAGTTTTTTATGTCTAGTATAGACAAAAGGTATAACAATTTTTTTTTATGACTACTAGCCTAGACAATAGGTATTTCATATTACTTTATATGTCAAATTGTCGGTAATATGCTGAACTTTTTGTTTACTAAATCTGTGCTTTACCTTAAGGACCCTCTATACACTGATGAAAAATGTTTTGGGACTTTGAGAAAATTATTTAGCATAAAGGAGGATATTTTGAAATTAACTAACTCATTTTTAATATAGGGAGCGTGCCTTTTTTATTCAGGAAAAATCTTCAAAGACAATGAAGTAATAGAGAAGAAAAATTGCCTTCACTTACTCAAATGGATAAAATACATGCAAATAAAGTTTTCAAATACTCTATCTTGGTCTAATATAATGTTTAGAATACTTGGATTTATTTCAAATTATATGATTTAGTTCAGATTACAATTTATTCTACCTGTATGTCAAATGGTAGGTCAGTCTAATTACACAAAAGTACCCTGAAAATAGGGTGCAGTGTAGAGAGAGTCCTTAAGAATTACAAATATTACATAATATACTATTTTCTTTGAAATTTAGCATCTAGTTAAGTATTTATGTGCGACATTAATTGACTGGGAAACTATAAACTTTTGTATTAAAAGACAAAGTACATGTATTTAAAATTTAAAAATTGGTGACTTTGGGATTTAATATTGATTTTTGCAGAATTATGAATTTGTCTATTTCAGTTAGTTTTAAATTTCACTCGAGAAGAGGTGGGGCTGGATTGTTTGTATTTTTTAAGTGCCATATGTGACCATATGACATTCATTGGAGTAGTATTAAGTTAAAATTAGCTGCTCATCTATAGCAGTTAATTTATAAGTCATTTAAAAATAACAAAATGCCATTAGATACCTGGTTCACATTAAGCTAATCAATGTGTGTACATTGTAACAGTATCCCCACATGTCTAGCGTGAACATTAATTACTCAACTAATAAATTTTTCATTTAATACGAGAGTAATGAAATTGGTCAGTATTTAGCCAATCAATGATTGCTGGGTGAAGTAATATGTCATCCAAAACTTTGCTGGTACATGTATTACAGTATAATATTACTGATAAAGAAAAATGCTTGGCATACAAATTTATCTGATATATATACTAAAAAATTGGAAAGAGCAATGCAGTGGATGAAAATAAAATTACAGATTTTTTTTTCTTTGGGGATTGGAAAGGGATATACTCAACCCTGTTGTAAATTGTCCCTTCTTCAGTTTTACAGGAAAGGAGGGCTTTAGTGGGAAAAATAACTTCACTGTTGCTACAGAATCCAAATTTTCACTAATGAAATTTTGAATTTAATATATATTTTTGGACCTATTTTGGTTGTAAATAATACAAATACCAAATTTCTAAAATATTAAGAAATTTAAACTTTCTGTGATGTTCCAAATTTTACCTTTCTGCAATCACCTTATAGATATGTACAATTTTTTTTATCACTTTATACATTATTGTGAAATTTTGAATAATTTTTTTTTTTTAGAAAATTTATGCTGTTAAACTGTTTTTCATTTTACTTACATAAACATGACTAAAGTTGCTGTTTAAAAGTTTGTTTTTTTTAAAAATCTGTATCATCTGTCGTTAACTCTGTCCTCTGTACATTATAGTATCTTCTTGTTTGACACCAACTAGCTGTTTAGTTTTATAAAGTATTGTTTATCAATAGGGTCCAATTTAAGGTCTCACACACTCTAAATCATTTAAAATGAAGGCCCACTGACTGCTGGTTATTGTTTCCTGTTTCTGATAGACCATGTGACAGAACAGGAGAAGAACTAGATCTAATATATTCACACTTGAAGAATCTAAAAGCTTTTGAGAAGTTTCACCCGAGCCTTCTACAGCAGATCTGTGTCTATGGATACTATGAAGACTTGGACAAAGGTGTTACATGTAAGTTACAATGTTTGATGTCACTTACACAATATTTTTTATGCCCCGCCATGAATATGGCCGGGGCATATAGTGTTTGTCATGTCCGTCTTCCATCCTTAAGTCCTTCTGTCCTTCCATCCTTCCGTCTGTCCTTCCGTCACACTTTGCATTTAGCTCTGTTCAAAGCTCAGTTTCAAAGAAACTATCCAAGATATTTTTATCAAACTTCATATGCTGATAGATATTGATGAGATTTTTTGACCTTGACCTTTCCTTTGACCTTGACCTCACTTTTCTTTAATTAGTTTTTAGCTCAGTTTTAAAGATACCATTCAAGATAGTGTAATCAAACTTCAAATGTTGATACATACGGATGTAAACTATTCAACTGCATCAACATTTTTTGTCCTTGACCTTTCCTTTGACCTTGACCTCACTTTTCTTTAATTAGTTTTTAGCTCAGTTTTAAAGATACCATTCAAAAGAGTGTTATCAAACTTCATATGCTGATACATACTGATGAGAGCTATTCAACTGCAGCAACATTTTTTGACCTTGACCTTTCCTTTGACCTTGACCTCACTTTTCTTAAATTAGTGTCAAACTTCATATGCTGATATATACTGATGAAAGCTATTCAACTGCATCAATATTTTTTGACTTTGACCTTTCCTTTGACCTTGACCTCACTTTTTTTAATTTATTGTTTAGTTCAGTTTTAAAGAAACCATTCCTAATATTTTTATCAAACTTCATATGCTAATACATACTGATTGATGCTATTCAACTGCATCAATATTTTTTTCACCTTGACCTTTCCTTTGATCTTGACCTCACTTTTCTCAATTTGTGTTAAAATGTTGTGTTACTAATATACCCTCGGCGGGGCATTCATGTCTTATGGACATATTTCTAGTTTTATATGAAGTGCATTATTCTGTATATAATATAATGATGACATAATGACAAAGTATAACTGCTTCTCACTGACCTGACTCTATTAATTTTTACAAGAATTTACCAGAATATCGTGTACAAATTAAGTAGTGAAGTATTATATTCATGTATTTTTTTTCTTAAGTTTGTTTTAAGATTGAACCAGTATAGAGCATCAGTACCATAAGAGACAGCCTGGATATTTAAATTCTGTAAAAATTTAATATGCAGATTGAATTGTTATTCCAATTACATTTCTCATTTCTATCTTGTAGTGTTCCGCCAAGGGGATATTGGGACAAACTGGTACATTGTGATCTCTGGCAGCCTAGAGGTTCTTGTATCAGAGACTGGGGACCACAAGGTAAATCTATGATATACAGTTATTGACTTATGATGAGGTTTACTCCTGACTATCCAGATTTGGTCAGGTATTGGATGACCGAGGCCAAAGGCTGAAGTTAACCAATAACTGAACAGGTCCATATAGTCATGTTTTGACACTTTCGTTCTTGTCCCCAACAAATATAAACACTCATAATATATATTGTATATTGTAACAACACATTAAAATTCTATTTCAGTGGTTTAATAACTGTTTAAAAGTGGAAAAAAATATCATAAAACAATAAATACTCAAATGTGCAATTTGATTGATTGAAAAAATGTAAGCAAATCTATGGTTTCGGAAAAACCCAAATAAACCTCCTGAAACTTCATTGTGAGGTGAACTCACTCTGAGGTACACGTCAGAAAAGGGAGTATTGAACCAATCAGTGAGAAAGCATAAATATTTATGATTATTTAAGAAAGTCATTTATAGGTCACTCCAAAGAAGTTGAGGTGAGCTTATGCTATACCCCATCAGTGTCCCAAAATTAAGTTTTAGGAGCAGGTTCATTCCGAATAACCATAAACTCTCTGGTCCAAACTTGCATGGATGATGTATCTATACATGGATTGATGCACACTACCAGTCTTCCTTCAGATGCTGCATCTGACATATATTTTCTGTACAAGTGACTTAAGGTTAAAGTTTTTTGAGCAATTCCCAAGTTCCAGGTACCTGTATGACCTATCTTGACCAAACTAGCATGAAATGTAAATATCTCCTGTTTAGTTGGATGAGTGACCAGGTTAAAGTTTTTGGAGCAAGTCCATTCCAAAGTAACTACAGGCTTTGCTTTATGTATAGATAAAATTTGTCGATTAGGATGTGTAATCTTTATTTATTTATCTTTAGACATAAGAAGCATTCTTTATGTATTATATAATTTATGTTACTGTAATTATGTAACTTTTGCAGTGCAGATGGATAATTCTCATCAGGTGCATAAGCTGCTTCAGATGGAACACTAAAAAGTCATTGTAATTTTTTTTTTTTGGTTATATCCACACATCCGTACCAAGAGGCTTTTGTAAACTATTACATAAAAAAAATTGTTTGAGAAAAAGAAAATAACTTTAAAAATCTTGTTTTCTTGATACTGGCAATACCAAAGATTAGAAATGGAATTTTATTTTTTGTAGTTTGCATACACTGTTATTTTAAAACAGTTACCTGACTAAACCTAAATTTTTGTGACCTTAATTATTAATGCTTTTTCCTGATGTACAATCTGGAAATTTCATGTTCATAATTTCCTTTGAACATTACGTTTTATATGTCTTAAGTTCCTTACCACTTAGAGAGCTGTTGAGTATATGGGGGGAAATTTTCAGGAAGTAAAAAAAGTGAGTTTCACAAATGGTCAAACAGTTTTGTACTTCAAATTCATGTAAAAAAAAAAAAATAATAATAATGATAAAATCCTACCCAGTGACCCTAATTTTTATTAGCATTTTACAGTACCAGATAACCAAACATTTTTTTAGACCTTATGTTTATTCTTTCCTTAAAATATTTTACAATATAGTACTAAAAACCATTGGTTCAAATTTGTTCAATTCATGACCCCCAAGGGTAGGGTGGGGCAACAAACATCCTCACAATGTCAAGGTTTTGTGATTTTGGAATTCCACACAAACCCTTGACATAAGTCGTTATTTAAAAGTTGGGCTAGAAAGCTACTATTTCATTTGTTCCTGGTCTAGAACTGGAACCAATCAGAAAACAGCTTTTATTATTATCTCCATGCAACAAGTTGCGTGAGTTATAATGTTTTTGACCCGTCAGTCAGTCCGTCAGTCGTTTTTTTTGTAGCGCAACTCCTCCTAAACCGCTGCACAGAATTTGGTCAAACTTTGCAGATATTTAGTACACAATGTGTAGATGTGCATATTACCAGGAAATTCTGATTCCATTATTTTTGCCTTAAGAGTTTTGCCTATTATTGAAGAAACTTTCCAGCTAGGTAATAAGGAAATCCACTCGAATCAGCTTTTGTAATGAAATTTTATGTGAAATATTTTATGACCTTAAAAGACCCCTGTTGATTTTGAGATCAAAATATTAATGATTTAACACACACACTAAATCTTGGATAGTTCTCAACCCCCCCTCCCCCCCCCCCAACCCTCCCCCCCCCTCAAACTGGTGCTTTGCCTTAAATAATTTCATAAGTACAGTATATAAACAAATTCATATGACTACATTTTTTGCAAGTAATGCCCGTTTTTGAATTATACTGTGTATTTAAAATGCACTGTGCCATTCATTACGTGTTGCATTGTGGAGTTTTGGGGGAGCGTGGGGTATGTGAGCTTGCTCACTTTTTCTTTCATTTTAGGTTAGTTTTGTTAACAAATATGACTCGTCTTTAAAATGGAAAGTGTCAATATTGTAGGATTGTGACTAGTTAGTACGTTAAATGAAACATGGGTGATTAATTTTTTGAAGATCGTCATCCTTATAAACAGTAACAAAACATACATGCAGGAGTTGGGCCATTTATAAACGACAGATTTGAAAAATACATTCTCATTGGTTAGTTTATAATTACCTATTACGTCATGTGTAACTACAAACCCAACTTTTAAATAACAACTTGTGTCAACGGTTTGTGTGGAGTTCCGACATCACAAAGCCTTGACATTGTGAGGATAGGCAACAAAAAGCAATAAAGTTTTTTATGGGAATATATAGGGTAAAAAATTTGCTGATAAAGAACAGCAGGGCCATGCTGACTCTGGTAAGCATTGTGGCCCATTGCCTCTTGATACTGGCATTACCAAAGATTAGAAAAGGAATTTTATTTTTTGTAGTTTGCATAAACTGCACAAACTTGAAATCATTGGTAATATTTATACAGTACATAAGCCTGATGCTGAAACTCTTGCACCTCCTGCAGGGAATATTTTCTGGTATAACAGAAATAAGTAACATCCTCATTGACAGACCTACAAAACAAATCTAATCACCTTTTTTCCTCATTTCAGTAATTTGTATCTTTGAGGCTTTATTTGGACTTATTTTGTTATAAGACAAGTTGTCAGATAATAATGTCCGATTATATTTATGTGGAATGCTTGAAATTTTTAAATTGATCTGAAAGTGGCATCTTTGACTTTTGTAACAGTTGTACTGTCTAGAAACCTTGGACTAAGTCAATTAAACCATAAGTTCAGGTGTCTGTCTCCGAAAATTAAATTACTGGTACAATATCACACAAGTTAAAGAATTATGAAAAAGTGTTTTACATCATAAATTTGACATTTACCATTATTATCAACAGAATTTTTTTGCTTTTATCTAAAGTTATCCTACCCTATGATGATCCAGAAAATGTGTTAATTGCTTAATAAAAGCTAAAGATATGATGTCATTAATGGTTTGGCAAAGTTCAGAAGTAAATGCAGTCAGTTGATATATCATCCCCTGGTAATTTGGAATAAAACAGGTATGATTATGGGGGCGTAGACTGGATAGTCTAGATTTTACACATCAAATACTGATTTCTTACTCTTTGGTATTGATCTGGTTCCAAAATTGTGTTCTTTTAGTCAATTTAGTGAAATTCAGAGCATATGATAATAATTTTCAGTGCATTTTTAGAATAAAACAAAATTTGAGGATTAATTTTTATTGATAAGCTTTCAAATTGATGCTGATGAGGAAAGAATTGTTAGCAGTATGCAATTATTGCAATCTAGATACTCTCTCTAATAATGCCAAAATTGAATCCTTGCTAAAAATTCTGCTTATATGGTGTGTATGTGCCTTTATGATAGCTGTTGAGTTTTGGATAAAGTTACCCAATGAAAGGAAATTGTTTGAAATTAATTTAAAAAAGCTCTCTTTGACAAAAATTATCTTATGAAGAAAGCATATTATACACATATCCACTAGCTATGAGTGGGATAGCTCTTTAATCAAACCCTTAACAGGAACTATTCCTCGAGGGCTTGCCCAAGGGGAATAGTTTCTGTCAGGGTTTTGATGAAAGAACTATCCCACTCACAGCAGTGGATAACCATTTTCTTATACTGAGAAGTATATTATAATTTTTGAGAGTTGGATAGCACATTTTATAACCCATGATATAGCTTTGTGGAACTTTTCAGTGTTCGAGAAGTTGCCAACCAATAATATTGCAGAAAATCAAAATTGGTGGCAAAAATTGAATGAATATTTTCCGAGGGGTGGATAGTTTATACCTATTTACTAGATATGAGGACAATAGCAAGTTCATTGTCCCCTAAGACAGCAACTTTTTGCCATTGAGGGGGAGAATAAACTTGCCATTGTCTTCATTATCCAGTAAATAAGTGTTTTATTATACCGAAGCAGACTTTAATTGTGTCACGTCACAATCAAGATAAAACCAGAAGAGTTCCAAGATGAAATGCAAGGAAAATGGAATGCTGCTGGAGAATAGTTTGATACTATTTCACCTTGAACAAAAGCACAAAAACTATTCCATAGTAGGGGCTGTTTAGAAAAATAGCATGTTTATTTGTCATATCTTAATAAAGAAAAAATTGACATAATTAAACTATACTGGGATATAGCTTTGCTTTAAATAGAATTTTTCAGACTATAAAAAGTTATTTTACCTCCTTATTAATTTTGTATAGGAAATATTTGAACAAAAATATAATAAATACAGATGTAAGGTAATAAGATAGAATCAAAGTACTGAAAGTACTACAAAACTTAGGCTATGTACTGATAACCATCACTGCATTAATCCTTTCACCAATGATTTTCCCTAGTATAAATAATACTAGGACAATGAATTCCATGAGGAAATTTAAATAAATTGTATGTGTTGTATTAAAATGTTATAACTTAATAAAATATATAAAATATGGTACAGAGGTGAGATTAAGTTAATTCACAGGTAAATAAGGTATGAAAAAGCAACAACCTGAGCTAGTCAAATTTGAATTTTTTGAAGAAATTTATTCAAAACCGGTGTAATA